ACTGAACATGACTTAAGAACGGTAAATCTTATCATAATAGTCTATAGATCAAAATAAAGCTTATAATAATAAAAACATGAATATACATAATCAAGCTACTTAGTAGTTATACAATGAGAATATTACTTGCTTACTTACTTACTTACTTACGCCTGTTACTCCTAATGGAGCATAGGCCGCCAACCAGCATTCTCCAACCCACTGTGTCCTGGGCCTTCTTTTCGAATTCCATCCAATTCTTGTTCATTTTTCCCATGTCTATTTCCATTTCTCGGCGTAATGTGTTCTTTGGTCTTCCTCTTTTCCTTTGGCCTTCAAGATTAATGAGAATATATATGTATATAATATTAATTCATTAATAGTTCTCAGAAGTTACCCGTAATTGAATCTTCACCAGGATATAATATTAACCTTGATTTATTTTTTAACCTACAAAGTAACCGTAATAACCTTTCATAATTCTGAAATTTTCAGAACAGATAAAAGATATTACTTATGGATCAAGTGAAATTCACCGGTATCTTATGACATTAAAAAAAGTTAAAAATATTTCTGTCAACTGGTTAAGAGTTCAAACTTTTAGGATTTACACCAACTGGGCATCTGATAAGTTCTATTTTAGATATTAGTAAAATTCCACGTAATCGATATTAATGTAAAAGTATGTTTCAAGGTCTGGCCTTAAACTACATGTTACAAACAAATCTCTGAACATTCTTTCATAGTTCTAAAAAGATTGATGTCCAAGTTCAAAATGTTTTTAGAATCCAAATGCCTTGATAATGCCTAGGGTAAGGGAGAGTCAGTTATCACTGTCTGAATTATCTCACATGGTCACGCGTATACAGCCACGGCCAGTGAAGTCCTATTCACTGCCTTATCTCAGTAGGGGTGTTGTTTACAAAATTGAGATGACGAGTAGCAAATGTCCGGCGCTTTATCCGAGTTGATGGATATGGCGGATCCACCTACGGGAGATGCAAAGCAGTGATTCCGAACCAATAGTGTACATGAGCTCAAGGATCCTGAGTAAACAAATTGTGTAATAACCATTTATTGGTCAGCGACTACCATTGACAATGTATCTCCTCACGTTGCTCCACTGCCTTACGGATCAACCCTTTAGGTCGAAGGGTCCAGGTGTGGTCCCCTTAAGAATACCATTTGCTTCAGTTTGGGCACCCGGGCAGTCTCGCAGCCCACTCACAAATCGAGTGACTTATGTCGTGAATATGTATTTGGTGCCCCTTTATACCAATATTGATGTGTTCAAATAAATAAAAATAAAGTCTAACATTCATTTTGAACTGTATTGGTTAATAATAATGGTCTCTTTGTTCGATACGAAATGTTTGGCTTTAGCGAACAATTCTCAACACAAACACACAGTGTTGTGACGAAATTCCTGTTTTTTAAGTAGTTGACATGTGAACATTCAGAAAAAATGTGTATGGAAGTTTATAAACAATGATTATCTGCCACTCTTATTCATCCCTAAAATGTTTACCATCCATCTTGCTTCTATCAAATCTCTTTACATTTTCTGATATATCTGATGTATAAATTTAGCTGTAATCGTCTTGTATTACTCCAGACAACAAAGGTAGAGGGAAATTAACGAATCATCGTGATACTTCTAATGTTGTTCACAAGTGATGAGAATCGAATGTATTTCAATACAAAATTACAGAATCATTTAGTAAAATCTGAGAACCATTCAGTGATTACTTCAGTTGGAAAATGTCAATCAATCGTCTCAGACTTCAGTGTTCTTTCGTCTCCACACCAATCATTCTTTGTTCTGGTTCTCTTTTCTTCGATCTTTTTAACCTTCTGCCACTAGGCATTTCACATTCGATTGATGATATTTACTACTTATATCTGTCGACTATCATTAGCACACACCACATATGCGCATAACGTTAATCAAAGCTATCTATACTTCACAAAATACCACTTCATTAACTTTTTTTCTCTATAACGTGTTGTAACAGAGCTAATTGTTATGCCATGAAAGGATCGTTAGTCGAGGACAAAGCAGTTTAGTAGTCTACACATTGGTTACATTAAGCATGGTAGTGGTATGGATCTTCATACTCTACGATACCGTTATCTAACTTTTTAAGTAGATAGTTAAAAAATACTAATGAAATTCAAAAGGCAGTAGCGAGGCAATAAGCACAGGATGCATGTATGCTAATAAGAGACTGATCAATTGCAGTCCTAAATTATGGGAAGATACAAGTAAAACAACACCAAGTGAATTTAAACTTCACCTTATTGCACAAACAGGTGACTAAGAGGACTCAGTAGCTAAGTGGATAAAGCGGCGGCTTTTGGAGCGAATGGTACTGGGTTCGTAGTCTCGGAGCGAATATCAACTGTGAGATGCCGGTACATCCAGTCGACGATTCCCAAATAGGACGAAATGCGCATCCTGAATTCCACTGCTATCCATCTTTGCTTAAGAAGTTTTTGTATTTTTCAACAAATTATATTTACTTTCTGAAGAGCAAACAAAATACAGACCATCATAGTTGAACTTCTTAATTGAAATATGATGGGGTTACTTATAGGTTAAATTACTAGATTTACAGCCATTATATTACAAGTTTGATTGCTCAGCTTGTATGAATAATCTTTAAATTAGTCTTTGGGTATAAAGCTACGTATGGGAACCTGTGGTTGATTCCTCAGTTATATTATCTTAAAGAAAACTGTACACAGTGATAATTCCAAAACCATATGCATTCATTCATCCATAATCAACATAAATTCTTTATATTGAAATGTAGAGACTTGAGAAACCCATTTTAAAATTTCCACTTTTAGTATAGCAACATTCCAAGATCTTTTAACAGTTGAATTCACGAATCGATCTAAGTTAGACCACCACTGAAAACCTGAGAGCATTAAACGACCGTTTCGTTCTAATACAAAACTTCTCATCATTGCACATCCATGATGCTGCAGGAACCTAGGACCTTCGTTCTCGCGCGCAAATGCTCAACTTCTAGACCAGGGCACTGTTAAGGAGTCTCATAAGAGGTCGATATGACCGCTCAGTGCTTTCAGGCTTTCTATGGTGATCTATCTTAGATTGACTCATGAATCCAACTGTTAAAATTACTATATTCTTCACAAATCTCCATTCTGATTTCATGTTCTATCATGACTATAATTTTTATTTATTTTTCACTTTTGTTATACAAATGTAACGGCATCTTTCGGCTTGGTAGGTTATTGATTACAAACAGTTGGTGTTGATTACATTCGCTCGTATATTCGTATACAAAATGATCAAAGCCATAAAAGTACTTCTATACATCGATATCATATATATCATATCTAAATCACCTGTTTCTTATGAAAGAAGTATCACACGAGGGTTATAATTGATAAATGATTCAAAACATGAGTAAACTTCATAGTTGAAATCATGAGTCGATTGAAGCTAGACAACCATGGAGAACCTGGAAGCACTAGACGACTGTTTCGTCCTAGTATGAGACTCCTCAGCAATTCGCATACACGATCCCGCCCCCCGCGAGATTCGAATCCAGAATCTATCAGTCTCGCGTATGAGCGCTTAACCATTAGACAACTGGTGGTCTAGCTCCAATCGACTCATGATTTCAAGTATTGAAATTTTTAAAATCTCCACAAATTCCCTTACTGGTAAAGGTCATAACCAGAGTTTCATAACGTCTATTGATTTTTTAAATGGCAAATTTTGTTCGTTTGTTTCTACATTCGCAGTCATTCTAAATTGTTAGATCGTTTTTCTTTCAATTTAGAGTTCATTAGTTCAACTTTTTAACGAACAAACAACATCTTTTCTAAACAATCAATATCGATTACCTTATCAAAAGATAAAATAACTAAACAATAAAACTTCTTACTTGGTATTATTTGCTTGTATCTTTCCATTGTTGTTTAAGACTGAAATTGATCAATCTTTTATTGGCATATGTACATCATATGAGGATTGCTTCGATATTGCCTTAAGTCATAAACTTTATATGTAAGGATGGATAGTGGTTAGCAGTAGGATTCAGGATATGAGGTTTCGTCATATTTGGGACTCGTCAGCTTAATGCACATCCACCCCATTGCACAAACAGGTGGCTAACAGGACTCAATAGTTAAGTGGATAACGGGATAACATTTAAAGCGAACGATACTGGGTTCGTAGTCCTGGATTGAATATCAACTCTGAGATGCCGGTACATCCAGTTGATGAGTCCCGAATAGGACGAAACGCGCATTCTGAATTCCACTACTAGCCACAATCCATCTTTGCTTATAATCTAAACATGAGTTAAGAGATAATGTGCACAATTTAGGATACAATCAAAGATCAATTTATTATTCAAACTTTATGTAATGAGTAGTATATTAAGGTCATACTTTATCAGTAACCCATTTGGTGACAAAAAACTGTTGTTTTTTTTTAAATTGGAGCTATTCAGTACCAATAGTGAATCCAACAGGATCTGTCTTGCATAAAATTATAATTGCACTATTGACTCAATTCACATACAAGCATCCTTAAACCACAATCACTCTCAGACATGCTTGTTCTTTTCTCTTGAAAATGAAGCATTTATGTTTTGTTTTTTTTCTCTTTCCACTATTGCTCACATTCTCCTACATTTTAATATTTTTCTTTACCCTGGATCAGAAAGGTAGGTCTAACACTTTTAATTGGTTATTTAACACTCTTATGTATCTATCTAATGTATCGATCAACTTCTTCATAAATATTTCATTTATCATTTTGTAAACAGTAGTATCGACCTACTCTAAGTTTACTTACATACAAACAGTGATATATTTTCTATACAATTTATAAGATTATGTCTGCCTATCTAAATGAATAGGGCATATTGAGTATAGGAATGTTTATCCCAATGTTAATAGCCAATCATATTATTGTTTGTTATCAAGTTTAGTATCTATGGCTAAAAAAAGAAGAAGAAAAATACTCGTGTACTTATGTTAAACTTTGTCGTTAAGTTGATAATACCAAAAGCATGAGTATAGAAAGGAAACCAACAGTAGTCTACTGTTAAAACTATAGTAATCATAGTATAATTGTAAATTTTACATGCTTCATTACTATATCCTTTATAAAGACAAGGATATTCATATATATTTCATATTACATAATATATGTTCTGGAATTTATACGCTACTTATACCTTAGTAATTACTTTATTCAGTAGTATAAAACATACGTCTAATTCACCGTTACATTCAAGAGATTATGTGAATTCTATTGATCATTCTAAATTTGACAATATAAATAATGAAGATTTATTAATACATGATGTATTACCTTATATTCCAACATCAGTTGAACCGTCGTCGTCGTCGTCCTCGTCGTCATCATCGTTATTATTGCCGACAATAAGGTCAGTATCATCATCTATTTCATCAATACCAAATGAAGAAGAAATATTACGTTTACAATTAGCACTAGCTTTACAAATTGATGCAGAAGTGAATAAAGCAATTCATTTAGAGAATGCTGCTAGTGAATCAATTCAACAAGCTGATTTATTAAATAAAGCAGCTGATGAAGCTAAATATCGTGCTCAACTTGTTGGACAAATATTGAACTCATTAAAACAATCATGGAATACTACTACTACTAGTAATAATAACAATAAGGATAATATCATTGATAATTTTTCAAATGATGATAACATTCATGAGAAGCGAGCATTTATAGAAGTGCCGAAAATAAATCAAGACTACTTACTTGATGAAGAAGTAGGCGGTCAAATCATTACTGATTATAATGATAACAATAGAGAAAAACGTAACCAAGAACATCGTGGACATCATCATCAGCAGCAGCAACAGCATCAACGTTATGATAATATAAAGAAAAAGAGAAATCTTTTCCCTATACCTGATCCACATAATGAATTACATGTTCAACACTTATATGATTATCCTCTTCATGAATATATCGATGATGATGATGATAATAATAATGATGGTGATGACGACAACAAGAATATAATACTAAATGATTCTGAACAAAATATAAAAAAACAATTAACTTTAGAAAAGATACGTTTATTAATTTTAAGACAATTAATAAAACAACAAAGGGAATCAAGAGAAAAGGAACAAGAAAAAGAAAAAAAAGAGCATGAACAACATCATCTTCATCATTATGATCATTCTCATGATAATAATCATAATGATTATTTACAACTTGATAATAATGTTATCCCTTTACATATAATTAATCAATATCCAAATCTATATATTGATCGGCCAATATGGAAAGAATTACATAATCAATATGATAATGATCCTATTTATGATAAACAAATCAATCTTGATATGAATAATAATGATAATAATAATTACGAAAAGGATCATTATGGAATAAAATATCATTTATGGAAAGGATCTCAATTAAATTCATTAGATAATGATGATTCAATACTATTTAAATAAGTCATTATCAAAGGAAAGAACCAAAGTAACAAACATTGAAGAAAAGAAAAAAAGAAAGAAAGAAATGAAAATGAAAAAAAAATTATTGAAAAAAAATATATAAATGTCTATGTTTACTAGTTCTATCTCTATAGTTACATCATAACTTGTTGTTTTATATAATAAGGTTGTGATGCTTTATATTCGAGAGTGAATGTGCTTATTAATAGGAACTATGTATATTTTATTGTAGACGTTTAGATGATCGACGAGACTATAATTTATGGAGGATGAACCAATCAGATTTAGAATAACAGGTCTTAGAGTTTGACGCGAAATTCACTCATCCATTTGGATAAATAGAGTTTTGATATGATAGCTGATATCAGTTTGTGATAAAAATACTAAATCTAATTCTTAACCTTAACCAACAACTGTGAATTATAATTCTTATTCTTCAAACTGCTTTATAACTCTTAGTAAGTAGGTAGAAACTCTTAAGGTTAGTTTAGCGTCACTCAAAGGTCGTCGATAAATTCTAGTCTCATTAGATGATCAAACCATTTGTTATTGTTATGATGATCTAGAGATGTGATTACTGACATATTCAAAGGATGTATTAATCTATACTTCATATTTAATTGGGTTGAATTGAATCTAATGCTTGAATAGTATCTGACAATGACTTAGTTGTTAGATGTTGGCAACATAATATATAATCCAAAGTTATCGTATATCTCAGTCAGATAGCTATTGTTAGATTATCTTGAGTTAACAGAATCTACGTTACATACTCCGATACATAATGTATTACTGCGACATTAATGAATCATTGAAATGAATGCGCGTATGACGATGAAATATAAAATGTACTACAAGTCGATGAAGATTTTAAGATACATCTTATGGTGTAATCACTCTGTATTTACTATATTTCATGAATATTGAGAGATCATTTGAGTGTTGTTTGTACCACTAGAATCCTCTGTTGAAATACATATTCTAACCTGGGAGAGTATGGAAACATCAGCCATTATCTTATAGTGAGAAACTTGTTCCTTTATAATTATTCAAATCGTATTATCAACCCGATTTTTTAGAACTTCGAGAGACTGTCTCTTCAACTTTTTTTCATTAATTATCTACATCAGAGGAGGTTTTGTGGATATTATAGTAATTTTAATAGTTGAAATCACCGTTGGGTGCCGGCTCAGTGGTCAAGTGGTTAAGCGCTCGTGTACGAGACTAATAGGTCCTGGGTTCTAATCTCGCGAGGTGGGATCGTGGATGCGCACTGCTGAGGAGTCCCACAATAAAACGAAAAGGCCGTTCAGTGCTTCCGGGTTTTCCATGGTGGTCTAGCTTCAATTCACTCATGATCTCATTTATTGAAATTATCTGCATGTTAAAGAAAATCTGTGGGTCATAAGAAATATTTTAAGCATTGCTTTATCTGAATTAGGTGATTTGCGACTTTGTGTTGACACTATTTATGCATATGATAAAAGGCTTACGATTTGGACTATTTTGTTGTATAATCGCAAAATCATTTAAATGGAGTAGATAGTTTGTGGCTAACACAGGATTCGCGAACTGGCGTTTCGTCCTTCTCAGGACTCATCGACTGCATGTGTTTGCATCCAACTGTTTATGCTCACACCAATAATCAAATCTCCTACATTTCATGACAGAAAGTAACGCATTATCTATTTACCTATGAATTCTAGATATCTACTAACTTGTTTCTGCATTGCCAACGTGATTTTTAATAAGTGTTTAAATGATCCTACTATCGACATTCTGAGTCGATGAATCCCAAAAATAAAAATAAACGAGCAGTTGGGATTCCAATCCCAACCACAATCTATCTCTTCTGTATATGTGTGTCTTTACACATAATTTTCCTCTCATTTAAAATGCTAATGAGAATTTCTTCTGTTGATGAATAATTGTGAATAATACTAGTAGTAGGAAGGAGTGAAATCTATATGAAGACAATGATGTACGGTGGCGCAATTTCGTGGATTGGTTGAAGTTAGACATCAACACCGTCGGATGTAGACCGGCTCAGTGGTCTAATGGTTGAGCTCTCGCCCACAAGACTGGCAGGTCCTGAGTTCGAACCTCGCGAGGGCGGGGTCGTAGGTTCACATTGCTGAGGAGTCCCATACTATGACGAAACGGTCGTTCAGTAATTCCAGATTCTCCAAGGTGGTCTAGCTCCAATTGATTCATGATTTCAACTATTGAAATTTCTAAAATCTCCACAAAACCCCTTTTGACTACATGAAAAACGTCTTGAATTCATGACAAGAATAATAATGAAAGGATCATTTGAAGATAGTTTGATTTATATATTATTACCAATCAAAGTAAACTATTAGAAACTAGGAAGTATTTTAACTTTCCACTCTTCAGAAATTTGCACCAGCAACGTTAAATGAAATTTTTAAAAAATATAGTGAGATTCCAGAAGGAACACAATATTTCGAAATTGTTAAAATGTAAGATATTTATACAAGTGTTCAACTTCAGTCGGTTCATGACCATTTGAATTTGGAACCAATATGTGAGTGATATTATGAACTTTACGATATCTATGTGTCCTAGGTTCGATCGCATATAAGGTTAGAATAGTGTACACCATTGAGGAGTTCTAAACAAAGATTAAATAATGATCCAATGGCTCGCCCGATAGCATACTTGATGAAGAAAATCTGAAAGAGATGATAGGTTCTATGTATCTGGACAGCTGCATTATCGGATGCAGATGTAAAGTAAGGGATTGGCAAAGCAAGGGCCGCATTCCTACAATTGAAGAATATATACAACTAAAAATTACTGTCTGTCAACCAATATCGAAGTCAAAATCTTCAATACGAACATCAAAACAGTCAGTTCTACTGTACGAAGCTCAAAGGTGGAGAACTGTGACAACCATCATCAAAAAGGTACAAGTATTTATAAATAATTTTCTACTCAAGATACCGAATATCCTTTGTTAGTCGGATACCATCAGCAACACCCTACTGTGTGAGATAATAAACTAGATTCCAGATAAGGAAGTTACTATGGAGTAGGTGAATAGGACACACATTACGAAAATCACCTAATTGTATCCTAAAAGGAAACAAAAAAGAAGGCCAAAGAATACATTAGGCAAAAGAATTAGAATCAAACATGAAAAAAAGGATGAGCAATTGGAAAAAATTGTAAAGGATTACTCGGGATGAAGAACGTTAATGACTGGCCTATGCTCCTCGAAGACAGGTGATAGGCGTAAGTAAGTAAGTAAGTAAGTAAGTAAGTAAGTAAGTAAGTAAGTAAGTAAGTAAGTAAGTAAGTAAGTAAGTAAGTAAGTAAGTAAGTAAGTAAGTAAGTAAGTAAGTAAGTAAGTAAGTAAGTAAGTAAGTAAGTAAGTAAGTAAGTAAGTAAGTAAGTAAGTAAGTAAGTAAGTAAGTAAGTAAGTAAGTAAGTAAGTAAGTAAGTAAGTAAGTAAGTAAGTAAGTAAGTAAGTAAGTAAGTAAGTAAGTAAGTAAGTAAGTAAGTAAGTAAGTAAGTAAGTAAGTAAGTAAGTAAGTAAGTAAGTAAGTAAGTAAGTAAGTAAGTAAGTAAGTAAGTAAGTAAGTAAGTAAGTAAGTAAGTAAGTAAGTAAGTAAGTAAGTAAGTAAGTAAGTAAGTAAGTAAGTAAGTAAGTAAGTAAGTAAGTAAGTAAGTAAGTAAGTAAGTAAGTAAGTAAGTAAGTAAGTAAGTAAGTAAGTAAGTAAGTAAGTAAGTAAGTAAGTAAGTAAGTAAGTAAGTAAGTAAGTAAGTAAGTAAGTAAGTAAGTAAGTAAGTAAGTAAGTAAGTAAGTAAGTAAGTAAGTAAGTAAGTAAGTAAGTAAGTAAGTAAGTAAGTAAGTAAGTAAGTAAGTAAGTAGTAAGTAAGTAAGTAAGTAAGTAAGTAAGTAAGTAAGTAAGTAAGTAAGTAAGTAAGTAAGTAAGTAAGTAAGTAAGTAAGTAAGTAAGTAAGTAAGTAAGTAAGTAAGTAAGTAAGTAAGTAAGTAAGTAAGTAAGTAAGTAAGTAAGTAAGTAAGTAAGTAAGTAAGTAAGTAAGTAAGTAAGTAAGTAAGTAAGTAAGTAAGTAAGTAAGTAAGTAAGTAAGTAAGTAAGTAAGTAAGTAAGTAAGTAAGTAAGTAAGTAAGTAAGTAAGTAAGTAAGTAAGTAAGTAAGTAAGTAAGTAAGTAAGTAAGTAAGTAAGTAAGTAAGTAAGTAAGTAAGTAAGTAAGTAAGTAAGTAAGTAAGTAAGTAAGTAAGTAAGTAAGTAAGTAAGTAAGTAAGTAAGTAAGTAAGTAAGTAAGTAAGTAAGTAAGTAAGTAAGTAAGTAAGTAAGTAAGTAAGTAAGTAAGTAAGTAAGTAAGTAAGTAAGTAAGTAAGTAAGTAAGTAAGTAAGTAAGTAAGTAAGTAAGTAAGTAAGTAAGTAAGTAAGTAAGTAAGTAAGTAAGTAAGTAAGTAAGTAAGTAAGTAAGTAAGTAAGTAAGTAAGTAAGTAAGTAAGTAAGTAAGTAAGTAAGTAAGTAAGTAAGTAAGTAAGTAAGTAAGTAAGTAAGTAAGTAAGTAAGTAAGTAAGTAAGTAAGTAAGTAAGTAAGTAAGTAAGTAAGTAAGTAAGTAAGTAAGTAAGTAAGTAAGTAAGTAAGTAAGTAAGTAAGTAAGTAAGTAAGTAAGTAAGTAAGTAAGTAAGTAAGTAAGTAAGTAAGTAAGTAAGTAAGTAAGTAAGTAAGTAAGTAAGTAAGTAAGTAAGTAAGTAAGTAAGTAAGTAAGTAAGTAAGTAAGTAAGTAAGTAAGTAAGTAAGTAAGTAAGTAAGTAAGTAAGTAAGTAAGTAAGTAAGTAAGTAAGTAAGTAAGTAAGTAAGTAAGTAAGTAAGTAAGTAAGTAAGTAAGTAAGTAAGTAAGTAAGTAAGTAAGTAAGTAAGTAAGTAAGTAAGTAAGTAAGTAAGTAAGTAAGTAAGTAAGTAAGTAAGTAAGTAAGTAAGTAAGTAAGTAAGTAAGTAAGTAAGTAAGTAAGTAAGTAAGTAAGTAAG